GATTTGTGAGTTTGAGCCCTGTGTCGGGCTCTGTGCTGACAGCTCAGAGCCTGGAGCCTGCTTCGGATTCTGTGTCTCCTTCTCTCTCTGCCCCGCCCATGCTGACACTCTGTTTCTGTCTCTCTCTCTCTCCCTCTACCAAAAATAAATAAACATCAAAAAAACTTTTTTTAATCCATTTGAACTATTCATTTTCAAAAAATGGGAAAAAGTATTAGAATCAAATATAAATACACTAAACTCTATACCAGTGGCCAATTTACAGAAGTAAATAACCTTAATTGCATACCAGACTTCAGTCTCAAAAGTTTAAGGGCTATGAACTTTCACGAAGTCTACTTGAATGCAAGTACTCAGGCTACTTAAAGACCAGAAATGAGGGAGCCAGACCAGAGTGTTCAACATGGAATATTAGTTGTTGAAGATACAGACTACTCCAATAGGAATTAATACTGCTGTAGTCAAATAGATACAGTTTAGGGATAAAAGAGAAACTCATACTGGGCCTCTACTGTATGTAGGTGGAAAAAATCCCACAGCTAAACATAGAAGTTCCTTAAGACTATCCTTGAAAAGCACAAAAAGCATACAAAGGAGATTACCTATCCTAACCTCAAAAGGCTACAGAAGCTTAAAACAACACAGGGGAAATTCATACTGGTATCAAGAAGCTCCAGGTCTTACCTCACTGGAACTTATTATGAAAGCTCTTCTCAACTGGGTAAGTAATTTATTTATACAAGGTTAAAACCAAGCCTAATAATAACAGAATAATACACTGCACTTAAGTGAAGAAACTTAACTACTGGTTTACAATAATTAACACCCTTAACAATTTGAAAGCTCATCATACAATTCAAATACCAAACACCCATGAAAAGTATCTGGTCTGAATCTAACTTAAATTCTCTAATAAATGAAAGAGTGAAATAATAATCATGTTAAAAAGGTTAGAAAAAAAATCTAGTTATTCATATTTTCTAACACAGCAAACACATGAAAATTGGCATCAAGTGAGCATTAGTTAGAACTATGTAGGGGCGCCTGGGTGGCTCAGTCGGTTGAGCGTCCGACTCCGGCTCAGGTCATGATCTCGCGGTCTGTGAGTTCAAGCCCCGCGTCGGGCTCCGTGCCACCAGCTCAGGCCTGGAGCATGTTTCAGATTCTGTGTCTCCCTCTCTCTCTGACCCTCCCCCATTCATACTCTGTCTCTATCTCAAAAAAATGAATGAACATTAAGAAAAAAAAAAAGAACTATGCAACCTCAATGTAAAATAATTTAGG